GAGTGGCAAGGCCCATAGCATGTCCCAGAGACTCAGTCCATGGGACTGGAATATTGGAATATATGAATGCCTGAGGCCAGAAGCCACCCCAATGTAGGCAAACATGCGAGTCCATGGGGTGTTTGAGTTTGGTTTGTCCTATTCCCATCATCAGGATGATCACCTTTTCGTCATCTAGCTCACGAGCTGTCACTAGCTTGATCCGCTTTATGGCACCAATTTTTCACTTCACCATATCCTCATTTCTTTCACCAAGAAGGCCCTAAATGAGCCTAAATGGGCTGATTGAGGTGAGTGGGAAGGCATTGATCATTCCGGATTCTTCCCATTCTCCACCTCTTTTGAATCAATCTTCTCCTCTCCTGAGTCTTTCTTGGGGGCACCCATCTCCATTGAGTCTGTCCTAGTAAACCTGTAAGAGTCAGTAAACAAGAACATCACTATTTTTGAACAAGGCCTAGACAAACCTGGCCCCATCATCCACTGAAACCTGGTAAGAACGGATAGACTCGTCCCATCTAGACCAAAAGGATGGTGCCTTGGGCAGCTGGGGCGCTAGGCTTCTTCTCCTTCTTCCAAGTGGCCGATGACCTCTACGCCTGTGGCTGGGGAAAGGCGCGACCTGTAGCTTCTCGGGTCGTGGAATGGGACATGACATCGGACCTGCGAATCGGTGGAAACGGTCCTGGAATCCGATTGACGCCATTTTTTAAGGATGTGTATCTGTTTTTTGCCCACGTTCAGTATTTATGCGAAGAGTGCAGGTGTTTGTCCCGTTTACGATGTGAGGAGATGATTAAGCGCTTTTTGGAGTGTTCAGGCAGATCCAGTGTAGACCAGAAGAGTGCTCGCCCCCTTTCCCACAGCCTATATAGGGTGTCTCCACTGGATTAAGGGACCCGGAGCCAAAACGTCGATAGTCCTCGGAGTCGAAGCAGACTCGGCCACACCCGAAGATGGAAGAGGATCGATGCTTCAGTATCATTCCAACGCCCTTAAAAAGTATTATAAAGTCCTAAGTTAAGAATCCTTGGACCCTCAAACACATAGGGTTTTGAGGTTTTGGACCCCTGCCATGGAGGGTCCGACCAGTCGCCATGGAGGGCCCCAAGGATTATTAGGGAAGATGAAGATAGATTTAGCAGGTAGTAGGATGCTTCTTGGGTTCAGGGATTTGGGGGTGGATCTTTGAGAGAAATCGGTTGATGGATGTTGCTGGTGGATTTTCACGGACAGCACGGACACTCCGATCTTGACTGGTGGACCTTCGCAGCAGGACATGCGGACCTTCGATGACTGGTTGATTCGTGGTGACTTCTGAGTCCAGAACTGTTTCTGGTTGGGACTGAGTAGACCTAGGTGGTGGTCATCTCTGGGTCAGTCAGTGATGATCGGTGGTCATCTCAGATTGGCGCCACGACAAGTTGGAGTGGTTTAAAATAGGTGTTCTTCAGCGGTGCTGACACCTCTCAAGAATCGATACTTGCACGCAATCGTATAAATGAACTTGTAACATCAGAGCCAGGGGATAAACACTTGAACCATCAGAGAGGGGGAGGGGATCTTTTTTGGGACTCGCATTCAACAATCCGACCCCCTCAAGATTCTCTTCCGCTCATACATGTCGCGCTGTGAAGAGCTGCTCCTTTTGCTCTTTTCCTATGCGAACGGGTCAAAACCTGGAGCCCTGGTCCACAATGTAGCTTGGCCTTCCAGGTATAGGTCCAACCAAGGTATCCTGGTCACTCCCTTCAAACCCGGTACCACAGTGTACCAAGGTATATATATATATATATGGGAAGCGCGTCGAGAGTGTCCGCAAGTCCTGCTACAAAGGTATCCTGGGTTTGACCCAGAACCATCATATTATATGAGGATTGGGAGTAGATGGCACAGACCCCAAGTTCGGTGGTTTATATGGACCCCCATCTGTTCAGGACATCTTGGGGTCCGTGCCATCTACTCTGAAACCACTGTATATGAGGATTGGACAACATCTAAGTGTGGGAGGCTCCTCCCTCCGTTGCCTCCGTTGCGTCCGTACGGCCCGTATAGTCCGGCACTTGAAGGGGGCGTCACACGCCCCACGCCCCGTTCTGACCCCTCCATCCCTAAGAGGACAGTCCTCCAACTCTGGTCCATTCATCGACATGCATGGGTTTTGGTTACTCTGCCATAATGGGTCAGGATGTATGTAGGTGGTTGACACCACGTTGAAATTAAATCGCGGTTCATGTGCGCTACCACGTGTGACACCACCCTCAGTGTGCCAGAAGGTCGGATCCCTTGACGTCACATCCTCAAAACCATTCCTGCAGGTAACACAGTAACCCGGTCCGGATTCTCTGGGTTACTGGTTGGCTTCGATCAACTTCGATCTTGGATAGGAAGAAGGACTCCCTCCCCGCCAGGAGGGCTGCTTGGGCTTCGGGCAGCTTTGCAAGAAGCAGTTGCGGGTGCGCCGTGTGCCACCTCCGCAGAGAGGTGGGCTTCACCGTCGGTCGGAGTTGTTGCGTGGTGTTGGAGCGGTCGCAGTTGGTCAAGGGGATGAGGGCAAGCAGAAATCAGTAGTTGGTCGCCCCCACGTTCGTGAAAAAGAGGTTTGGGGGGTTTACAGCAAGGAAGAGGACAGAGCTATTAGAAGCGTCGTCCCGGTCGTCACGAAGACGAAGACGGCGTCAGACACGTGGCCTGACGATCGAGAAATGCATGACGAGCACTGACCGCTCGCAGCGAGTCATAGGATCCCTTTTGGGCTCCAAGCACCGAGGGTCACCTACGGTGATTGGGGCCCCTCCATGGACATGACATAGGTCTTTCTCCACCGAACCTGAGGATATGCCAGGAGCCCAAAGGGGTTCATCTACACTTTGCATTTTGCATCAGAAGGATGTGTTTAGCCCTAGGGATCCAGTCGTATCTCCTCAGAAGGCACTTGGACCCTCCAAACCTACAAAACAGTGTCGAACACATCACCGTACCTGAGAAGGTACGACTGGATCCCTAGGTGACTGGTGACCTCGGCAAACCTGTTCCTTCACTTATCAGGCCGCTGGCTGCAGTTGCGCGCTGGCCCCTCACATGTCGCGGCGATCGTGGCAGACCCAAAATGACCGGGGCGTCTTGACTTCGTGTGCTGCTGGGGAGACCGGGAGATGCCAGGCTGCCAGACATCAAGCACTGTTGCAGGTCGGGGATGGGGAAGATGTGCGATGTTCCACACTCCATCTATTAACTCAGCTTCTGTGGGTTTTTAGCTTCGCGTTCGCGAGCGCGTTGTTCGATTTTCTGGCGAGGAAGAATTAGACGATTAGATTAGACCCTCCATCCAAATGGAAGTGGATGGCATGGGAAAGACAAAGATCATGGGTTTTTTTCATGCTTCTCACCATGGATCGAAAGCAAGCTCAACGCCTAACGGAAGATGAACGACCTGGAACATCAACCGGTTCCACCATCCACGCGTGTGGTGCAGGTTCCCAACGAAAGGGCGACGTAACAAAACACCCGGCTTTCCCCCGTCGAAACCGATGTGTCGTGCCAGAACGAACGCAAAAGCGGTCGTGGTACGTGGTTCTGTTTGGGGTTCGATCGATGCTTCACTCCCCCAACAAGCAAAACGAGGCCGGCGAGGCAAAACAGGGCCCGGTCTGCAGTACCCCCTGCCATGGAGAGCCCGGTCCAGATTCTTAGGGTCTAGATGGAATCCCAAACGACCATCCTAGACCCGGATCCCAAAGGAATAACGAGGACCACAAGCATCTTGATCAAAGAATCGTTCGAACATTTGGGAGACAACCAGGCTGAGTATTTGTAAGAAGGCGACCGTTTCCATGCACCGCGGTTGTTGTGATTCGTTGGAAGCGGTGACCAGAATCTATGACATACCGTCGACGGGTCCGCAGACGTTCGGGCCAACAGGTCCGCCATCAAGGCGTAGTTTGGTGCGTAGAAATTCGGGGGGAGGAGCAAACTGCTGCAACCACAGTCATTTTAGGGGAATGGGCAGCACGCCTTTTTTGATCCGGGCCCTTTTTAAGCAACACATATAGGGTTTGGTTTCCCTGCGGATTGGAGGGTCCGACCCCTACCATAGAGCGCCTAAGGATTCTTGGGGTAGCAACAGGTGTTTTAATGTTTTTCTATTTTTTGTGGTGTGTCAGAGAAGTTCTCCGCGTGTGCACGGTGTCAAGATTCTGTCAGCCAACTTGAGTCCTGATCTTGTATGCCCAAACACTTCGTGTTTTGGACAAGTCCAAGCAATTCACACGGAATGTGAGAGATCACCCCCTATAAGAGGATGATCAGACTCCATCCATTCTTGGTTGTGACTCTTAACCTTCCTCAGTCGCTCGCTTTGGGACTGTCTCATCCTGCCTCAATGCAGTGGCTCAAGTAATCTCACTTAGCCAGTGTGCTTCTGTTCACTTCAGATTGCTGTTCATTCTCGAGGCGCAGACGACTGATCGAAGTGGGCTCCAAACCTGCAATAAGGATCAATAAGGTCAATAAGTCGGGGTGCTGCTGTGCCTGTGCATGAAAATCGAAAACAGACAGCAGTCCGTGAGATCCCTGCACTTGCATATCCTGTGAGTCTTCAGGTTCAAACCGCCCTAGGCCCTAGGGTGTTTAATTCTTCGGTCGAATCGAATGGATTCCGCTACCCTTGCGATTGGCTTTGAGCACACCCTGTACAACTGCGGCTCTTGCAGGCACTTGATTTGCCAAATGGGTGGTCATGTTTCCACATGTTTCCACTCATCTAGCGCTCAGGAATCGTCGGGGTGCGGAGCCGGGGCTTCTCCAGTTGTTGCCCCTTGAAAAACAGCCGTTCGGTCGTTGACGGTCGTTCGAAGTGGCAACCTGCATGGGTCAATGGCACCAGACCAACTGACCGGGGTCTTCTTATCTTCGCTGGTCGAAGATGGACCGTTAACGACCCGACTATGGGCGGGTCCAACAGAGGGGTGCGAGCTGCGAGCCCCGAGCGATCGGAGGACATGTCGCTGCGTGTGGTTCTGAGTCTGGCGGTCATGAGCCTCGTGCAGGTGGGGACGCGGAGTCCGAGGGAGCGGCATCGATGTGTTTCGATGTTCCATTTCTGATCTTTGGTCCCCAAAGATCAATAAACATGTGCATATAAAATAATAGAGACCTCCCAGTTCGACCGCCTGGAAAAAAAACATGTGTGAGTGTGTTGGAAGAGGCAGAACATGGGTGAACGGACGGACTGCTCTATTTTGGAAAGTATAGGAATTGAATGGAATTGATTTCGACATGACTTTCGAAGATTCCCTCGGCGCACGGTGCAAAAGGTGAGCCCCAAGCAAAAGGTGTATGCCAGGAGTCACAAAGGGGTGGTTTTTAGTCCTATCCAGTGATTTGATGCTCTGGGCACCCCAACTTCCTCCAAGTTAGGCACCCCGACATGTGACTGCTGGTGTGTTGTTTTCCCAAAAGCATCTCCGATGCTTGGGTTCTCGTTTAGTCGCTAGTGCTGCGGAAGAGCGAGACAAAGCAAGCGTTGTCGTGGACGGAAGATGGGCGTGGACGGGGCTGTGTGGATGGAACAGGGAGGGGCGCGATACGGGAGGTGCGCAGGCGTGGACGGAGCTGTGGATGAAAGGAAAAGGGCACGAGACGGGAGGCGCGTGGGTGTGGACGGGGCTGGGAAGGAAGGGGGGGAGAGACGGGAGGTGCATGGGTGTGGACGGCGCTGAAGGAAAGGGGCGCGAGACGGGAGGCGCACGGGTGTGGACGGGCGCGAGGCGGGAGGTGCATGGGTGTGGACGGGGCTGGGGAGGGAAGCGGGAGGGGCAGACGGGAGGTGGGTGGACGGAGCTGTGGAACGAAGAGGGAGGGACGGGAGGTGCATGGGTGTGGACGGGGCTGTGGAGGGAAGGTGCTAAGTGGAACGAAGCATGGAGGGGGCCAATGCTGCTCCATGCTTCGCGGCAGAACGTTGTTGTGTGAGTGGAGCCGTCTTGCGCGGCTGATATGCTAGTTACGAGGACATGGTTGCACCACAAGCATCATTGCAGGCTGCTCCGGGTCAGTTCACAAGTAGAACGAAGCATGGGTGGGGGTAGTTCTGCTCCATGCTTCGTGGAAGCACGTTCTGACGCGAGCGGAGCTATGTTGCGGGGCTTATATTATGGTCTTGGGTGTACAAACTGTGCACAATGCATGCGCCAGACAGTCAAGTCATGGCCGAAACGGCAGAATTGTTGCATGCTAGAGCCGCAATGCTTGAAATTTGATGGTTGGAACGAAGCATGGAGGGGGCTGATGCTGCTGCATGCTTCCTGGAACGGTTGCCAGAAGCCATGTTGCAATGGGGTTGAAGACTAGCTGCAGAGATTAATACATCCAACCTCCAACCCGACTAAAAGGGGAACCGTCTTGTTTTCAGTGTGCTTGAGGGTGCTGTGCCGTGGTGGCACGTGTATTTGAAGCGGGTGAATGCTGCACGTGGCCCAAACTTGTGACCTGTCGGAGGGCTTCGCGGCCAAGACCCGGTCGGAGCCCCAGAAGAACTCATTAACGCTCGGTATCGGCGCATAGCTGTTGGCATTGTGTTTGTGTGGGTGTTGCTGGCTGCGCGGCCAATGTCACCCATCAAGGATAGCATGCCTTGTGGGGGCAGCATGGCGAAGAAGCCGAGGACAAGAAAAAGAACACGTTGATGCATTCAACACAAACCAGATTGAAGCTCCTGAGGCATTCAGGAGTGTGAGGCCATGTGGTGTCACATCTGACAATGTCAATGATTTTGCCCAACTCCGGACATGTTGGGAGAAATCACCACCGAACTGTCCCTACTCAAATCAAGCAAGCGGGAGGTCTTTCTAGAACCTGCCTGGGCTCAACTGGAGACCATCGCTCGAGAATCGCTTGATGATGGAAAAGGCTCCGGTTTGGACTTTTCAGCGGTACTTGGCTTGCTAGCCAAGCTGCACCTAGTGGGGGAATTTGTCATCAATAATGTGGTCCAGTTCTGGCAGCGTCTTGCCGTTCCTGAAATGGGTTCTTTCGCAGTTGCCTTGCAGCAGTTTGCAGCCGATGTAGATGGTGATTGGAAAGACCCGAAGCTACCATTCGGAACCAAATGCCTCATGAGCACAAATACTCTGCAATATATTTCCTTTGATTTGTCAGCAGCTGTGTCCGCTACCAAAGATCGTCGTGAACACTTTTCAAAAATAGCTGCAGCATGCCGCAGATTCATGGACGCGACGGACAAGCTTGAGGTATACTTTGTTGGACATCGCAGATGCAAGGCTACCTTTGCCATCCCAAAGTCATGGCGGTCCTGGGGCACACTCCAACGGTCCACTTGCAAAACCATGCAGGTGCTCAAAGCCCTACACACTGGCCGAATCAAAAGCCCGCGGAAAGTGCGAAGCACCACCTTCAAATAGAAACTGATCACGCCTGATGCCTCAAAGCGGAAAAAGGAAAGATGCTGACACAAATCTTGTATCCCTAATTTGTGAGCTAGCAAGCGGGTGGCATCCTGGACGCGGCATGACCGCGGCGTGGGAGGGCAGGAGGAAGCCGCTCAACAGTACGCTCAATAGTACTGCCTGCGCGACAGGGTCTAAAATCAGTAGACTCGCACGTCTCACGACATGGTGTCTTCTGTGTTTAGACCTGTTTGCTTGACTATATTAGACCCTCAAAACCGGATCATGTGGACAAAAACACCCACAGGACTTCAGGATACATTAATCGTCGAAGAAGCTCATGTATAAAAATCTAGTTTCAAGAAAGAAGACCTGTTTCAAGAAAACATAGTATAATTTTATATAACTTCAGCATATTTTACAATATATATGGCTGTGGGTCGAAACCCGGTTCCCTACGTTGACCACCTGATCTGGAGGTTTGGAACGAGATGTGTGACCCAGAGGTCTGGAACGGCAGGTATGTTCCGGAGGTCTGGACTGTTTTCAATATTTGTATATACTTAATAATGAACAAGTTAGAACGTATGAGCGCAGTCGCTAGCTCATACACACCCTGCCCTACCCTTCGAGAGGCTGGTATGAAGCTGCGCATACCCAGGAATCAGCCATGATGCTGTGCATGACATAGCTGCGTCATCTTCGCGCGACGGCGGCTGCAGGCGGTAGCCTGTTAAATATATAAGCTCCTGCGAGTATGCTTAAAGCACACAACATATTTTGCACCGCTGTGCCAAGTTACATCGCCCGTGGGCTGCAACATGTCATGCTATGTGTTTTCCACCCTCACTTGATTTGCTCTGCTCAGGTCACACAGTTCAGTTCCTGAGATACCATGGGACCTTCAGCTCCAGTTTCACTATGGTCAGGTTTCACCAACGACTCATGCCACGCCCAAGAGGCTAAAAGACCGGTTGCGTGCTTCTTTTTGCTTTTGGGTCCGCGGGCTCACCTGGTTTTTGAACAGAACGAGTGTCCGTGAGAGTGCGGTTTTCCATTGATTTGCAATTGCTTTTCTGGAAATTTTGCCACAGATAGCGACATAGCAGATATGACCAGATGCTTTGAGTATTCATAAATACAAAAGAATACAATTTTCCGGAATCTTGTGTCTCCAAAGAACAAAAAATAGAAAACACAAAAAACAAACACACCAATTTTCCAGAGGTCTTTCAACTTGGGGCTTCTGCAGAAAGAGTTCTGAAATATTGTTTTTCTATTTTTTGCGTTTTTTTTACCGGTGTTTTTGGTTTTTGTTTGTTTTTTTATTTTTTGGTTCTTCACTTCTTTTTTGGTTCCTCTATCTGGCGGCCCAAGCAGACAGGGGACATCAATAGGAGGAAACACTACAATACATGAACGGCAAGAATCATATCTAGTAAGCAGAGAATGGTTGTGGTGCAGTATCACAAGAGCAAGGGATTTTAACAATGTATATATATATATATTTTTTTCAAGAATGAAAAAGCAGATGAAGAGATGCAAAAGAATTTAGTAATAGTATGTTTGAAAACAAGATTGAAGGATACAAAGAGCAGGATAAAGTGGCTGATAGAGAAATAGATGAAGAAAACTATATTAATGAACATTGGTGGTTGAATCATTTCCATGGTTGTTGTGCCCACAGTGGAATAAAGTTCTATATTGAAATGAAGCAAGGCAAATTATCAACAAATTTCACAGCACAAAGACTAGACAATACACTGTGCCATTCCGTGGATAATTGCACTCCATACTGTAAGTATTGTAATTGTAGTGCTCACTGGTTATATTTGTAGTTCTAAGTTCTTATATTTTATGTCGTGAGTTCAAAGCAAGAAATATTGAATAGTGTATATTTTGATACAGCGGGTTATGGAAGTAAAGCAACACCTTTAAGACATGCAAAAAAGATTCTGAAATAGAAATGTCTGATGTTGAAGTTTTTTTTTGAAAAATGTTGAGATACAGAAACAACAAAGAGGTCAGAACAGTTTTGTAGCACCTCATAATAATCATACCTACCAACTTGACATATTTTTTATATCACCTGATGACATTGAAGCAACGCAAAAATTCAGAGCGGGTTTAGTAATGATAGATGTTAAAAGTACTGTAAATATGCTGTGGTAGTGCCAATAAAGAGTAAAGCCCCACCTGACATAATTGCTGGAACTATGGAAGGCTTACAGAAAATGGGAAAGAAGTGCAAAATTTTGTATACTGATGATGAAAGAGGTATAGCAAGTGCTGATTTTAACGAATATGTGGATGGTGAAGGCATTGAGTTATACAGGGCAAGAGGACATCCTGCCTTCGCTGAACGATTTATTAGGACATTTAAAGATAAAAACTATTTAAAAGAGTTGAAAATGATCAGAAGAAGGGAAAGCAGAATATACAATGGACTGACTACATATTAGAAATAATGCTGACTTATAAAAATAAAGATGTGCATAGTGCAACAGGACTAACACCAAACGAAGCAAGAAAAGAGAAGAATGAATTTAAAACAAAATTGAATGTATCAGTGAAAACAAGGAAAGAAAAGATGTATCCAACATTAGAGGTGGGAGACAAGGTAAAAAATAATGAGGAAGAAAACAATTACAGAGAAAGAGAGAACAAGTCATTTTTACAAGATGAATATACAGTAGAAAACATTGCAACAACATTAGGACAAACGTATTATACATTAGAAGGATTTAACCGTCCATTATTAAGGCATGAGTTGTTAAAAATAGAGTTTATTCAATAACAAAACATTTTAAAGGAAATCTATTTAAATAAATATTATGTTACAACACTGCTTAAAATCATAAAGCAGCGCACTCTGACAAACACCCGGACTCTTTTTGAATCGTGGCTGCTTGATAGCATGTTTTCCAGGGTTGTCCATGTTGGGGGGGCACCAGGGTCAGCTCGACTCCTCGTGTTGACCGAAACGATATCCTTCGATGTCTCCTGGGGCCCAAAAAAGTCAATTTGCTGAGGCGAAGTTGCATGATGAAAACATGATGAAAGCTGTACCTGGGTTGGACATGAGTCAGTACGTCAGAACCAGTCAGATGGTTTTGGGTTCTCAACCCAGTGGCATTCGGATCAGATCCAACCGAGCGAGCGGCGTCGACGGCTCGTTGGGACGAGCCGCTCGCGCTCGCTCGGCGTCCCGAGCACCGGTGCATGGGGATCTCTGGGAGGTGAATTCCCTTGCTTTTGGTTGGAACGGCTGAGAGATGGGCATCCCCATAGAGTTGGAAGCAACAATCATAAACCAGTAGTCACAAAGGGGTGCGATCCATGGAGGTTAGGGGGTGCCCAGAACATCCACTCACTGGATGGGACTAAACACCACCCCTTGGTGACTGCTGAAACATAGCCATACTCTGGTTGACTGCAAGCCGTACCAAAGCAACTTGGTGCACAAAATCGCACATGGCTGTGGGTCATGGCACCAGCACGCCCTGGTTGACCAAAAATGAACCGTGTTTTCACCACTGTCGACATGGTCAACCTACCAGGGTGAGGCAACCGGGTGGTGCCATGACCCACAGCCACATGGTGCGAGACTTTGGAGCACCACTCATCACTCGCCCACAGCCTTCCGCCGTGCCACCCCCACGCAAGACGTGATGGCATCACCGCTGGAAGGACCCCCTCGGAGCGCCGAGCTCTCGAGTTCCGTCTGTGCCGAGCGACTCGCCAGGCGAGTTTGCGTGGGAAGATTGTGGCCACGAGTGGCTCCATGAGCAACCTGGCGGCCAACTCTCTCTCGTTGTCGGGGTCGATGAGTCGAGCCGATCGAGTGAGTCGGGCCATGGCGAACGGCACGCAGGTGATGGTCGGTCTGGTTGGGTCGGTTTTGGTGGAACGGCACGCAGGAAAGCAGGAACGGCAGGGTGATCTTCCCACCGTTTTGGGCCAAATTGGATGCTTTAGGATGCTGCAGGAGGCTTGTGATGGATGTTCTCCTCTTCCCAAGGTGATGCAATGCGACTGTACACCCAATTCCTCTGCCGGGTTGGTCTACGCCAAGGCGAAATTCGCGATGTTTACGCAGTACACATGCGAAATCCAGCAGCGAAACCATCAAACTCCTTGGTGCGTTGCCGGCAAGGGAATTTCTTTATCACAGAAAGTGGCTGGGACTGGGGAGTTCCATTCAGAACTGTTTGTGGAACGACTCTATTCTTACAAGCTCTAGAGATTCCGTCGAATTCGATCCTTTGGCTGTTTGAGCAGGAAGTGTTTGAAAGCGTGAGTCGCTGAGTTTTTTAAGTTCCATGGTTTTGAGTACGGACGACTTCTGTTGGATATGGATGAAGAATTGCTGGCAGCTAGGCTAGATCGCTTTGCTTGAGCTTTGAGATGTTTCTTCTCGTTCGGGTCATTGGACAGATGACAACAGTTTTTGGGTAGTTACACCCTGGAAGACTAACATGGAGCCTGAAAACCCCTGGTTGGTAGAGGAAAATAGTCTTCCATGGCAGTCAGGGTCTATGTCAGTTTTCGGGAGTGTACACTGCCTGGAGTCATCATGGAAGTGGAATCAAAGGCCCCTGGAAGAGCATTTTCCTCGTCCACACGACGGCGGTGCTGTGTTGACGCAACCACGATGAGTGCAGGGGAGTGTGACTTTAACTCACACTTTTGGGTGAAGGTCTCTCATACTCATCTTGCTTCACTCCCATGAGATTGGAATATGTACAATATTCTCAAATGCCTACATTGACCCCGGGTCAACCACCCCAATGTGGCTTTAAAAGGGCCATAGATGGGGTTACACTGTTACACCGAAATTTGACCAGACTGTAGGAATGATGTGTGGTACCGCAGGTGTGCCCAAGTGAACAAGTACTCAGTATACCGCACCACCCAGGAACCGGGTGAGGTGTGGAAGCCTTTGACCCCTCTCTGACTTCCTCACCAGAGAGGTGTGGAAGCAGTGCGGGAGACCGTCTTGCAGGAGGTCCTGGCCGCTTTGGGCAGTGCCTTCGGCCCTAACGGTCCCAGCGGTCCACGCGGTCCGCGTCACGGGAGGTGCCAACGAATGGGAGGAAGAGAGGTGGGAAGCTGCCAACGGCCGGGCCAAGCATGGAAAAGAGTACTGTCACGGACACGAGACCCGGCAGATGCTCTGACTTGAACACACTTGGACCTGGCAACCTCGTCCCCTATAGGCTATATAATAGGCATCCAACATGATCAATTTCGGTACGACTGGACCCGACGTTTTGGCACCGGCTACCAGTGTCGGTCTCACATCACCTGAGAAGGACACCGATCCCGGGGACTCCATCGAAACCTGCCCAAGACAACCCGAAGACCTCACGGATCTCGACCGATGGAGAGGCGACTTCGTTCAGTCTCCGCCGCCGAGGCGGACATCGAGTGACCTCGGACCGGCTCTCCTCCATTGCGCCTCGCCTGGTGGAGGGGTGGAGACCGGGTCTCCTGCGGAGCTGCGCGGACGGCGTGGAGAGCTGGGAGCGGCGCGGACGACTTGAGTTCGGGCCGGTTGGGGGAGTTTGGGGGCGACTCATTTGGGCATTTGGAAGCTGGTCATCCAAGGGGCCATGCCATCCACTTCCGTTATTTCAGACTTTTTGCTTCGGGACAGGATACAGATTGGACTTCATGGACCCCTTCAGACTTGCGATGGTGGGAGTTGGCTGCTTGGAGATTTTGTATGCATCATGCACCTGCAGAGACTCACACGAGTCTTTGATTCACTTTGGAGACCGTAACAACACAAGCGCAGACCCAAACACCTCTCAATCTGGAAACTCGATGAAACTCGCCCAACCAGAAAGACCGAGCCATTTCCTGTGTAAACGATCTCAAGATGGTGCCGTAAGAACTGTTTCTGGTTTGGACTGGGTTTCCAGGGATGTGTTTGGTTTGAGACTGCTCACGAATCTGGTCAATTATTGTTAAGTGTGGCTGAGTCTGTATATAAGTTATCATACATTTAATTACACTTATAACCATGTGTATATGGTTGAACGTGTTTTGTAATGTTTGTCAGTCTGTCCTTGTTAGGAATTCCAATTCATCCAAAGCAATCTCATTTCTTTTGTGGTGCGTCAGTGGAGTTGACGCGTTGGCTTCGGCATGATTTTTTCGTGGGTCAAGTGGGTGCCAGGTAGTGGTTTGTTCATATCCCAAATTGGCCATGTTACGTGTCCCCAGCCAGCCCGACATGAGCTAGGACAGCCCCTTCGCGCGGGGACACAGAGATTTGAGCTCGCTAGCCCTCCAGCTATCTCTATCTCGTTTGTGAGTCGAGTCGCCCTGATTCGGGATCACAAAATCTTGGATTTGTAAGTTCTCAGCGACCTCAGGTCAGGTGAGGTTTACTACCTGAGACGGCGCCCGCCGACGGCCCGATGGAGAAGACGTCGTCACGCCGACGGCGACCGCGTGTGTGACGAAGTCGGCCGCGTGCGTCAAACGGCAGACGCGTCAGGAAGCGATCCTGGCCCCCACTTTCAAGGCGGTCACCGGGCGGTTTCGGCGCGCTCATGGTCATGGCGCGGTGTCCATTGTTTTTGCTTTTCTCAGGGAGACTTTTTGTTTGACTCTATGGCCGGTAGGGACCGATATAGAAGGAAAATGAAAGGAATGAACTGATGATACTGATGGACATTTGCAGGCACATTTGATGTACTTTGTTGGTGGCTGTGGCTGGAGACGGGCCAGCACTCACTTGTGCACTTGAACAAAATTCTCGCTTGTACACTTATGGCTTGAAGACTGAGGACGAGAACAAGGCAATATGAGTTCAATCGAAACAAATGGCAAATAACAAGAAAGCTGTCCCCACGCATGTAAGAATACGAGCTCATGATCTTTCCTTTGTTGAAGCAGAGGGCTGGTGTGAAGAAGCCGACTTTGAAGAAGCCGGCTGGTGCAACTTTTTGTCCAATTAGGCCCGGCTCAGATGCGTAGTCAGAGCAGTTCACAATTTACCTCGGAGTGAGAACACTGTTGGTTCTCCCCATCATCACAGGAGCTGGTGACTGCGATGAAACGTTTCGTGAAAGACATCATCGACACATGCCAGAAGAGCGGCGCAGTAGTGCACTCTGTGCGAAAGCTGTTTGATTTTCTGGCAGGTGAGGGCCTGCTTTACACACAGTGAATGCATTGAAGCACTATCGGCTATCGGGGTCCAAGGCCAAATTGAGATGGCCTCGGCATCAGCTGGGCCGACGCGCGCAGATTGGTGTCAGCAGATTAATCAGCTGGGGACTGTGCGCGATGATTGCGCTGTGTGTGTGTGTGCGCCGAACTTCACCCCCATGATGTCGATTGCAAACAATTCAACAAACAGTTACAAGAAGAGACTGCAGGCAAACTTGGAGTTCCAGGCTCGACAGCCCACATCAGGTTCGCCAGTCTCTCCTGCTCTCATAGAGTGTTTGCCATATGAGAATCATCCAGGAAGGCGTGGCTTACGCACACGAAGATCTCACCCTACATGGGGTGTTGAGCTTGGAGCAATTAGGTACAAACGGCCCGGAATTTTTGATGTGAGTGGAGGACATGCTCAGGGGAGGCTTCTGCCACCGGCAGATCTTACCACCTCGCTTGCACATCAGTCGTCTGATCCATCGTCCCGCCTTCCATCGTCGCTATGCTCCAGTGACCCCGACGTTACCGTGGTGCCGCTCAGTTTGGCACAGTATGACGCCCCGGCAGGCCGCAAAGGCGGGGACGTTCCTCGCGATCAGCAGCCGGATGAAGCCAAGAGGAGAGTGCGAGAACAGGACCTCGATGAAGAATGCGATCCGGGTGATGGACCGCGGATCAATTGCAGGCCTTGATGGGAACGGATGTGGTTGGAGGAATTTTGGGATGCAGGTGAGTTTTGGATATTCTTAGGTGTAATGCTCCACCATGTGTAGGCCCACCCCCGCCCCCCAGAATGCAGCTCATGAGAGTGCGCCTGTTGGTGCTGCAGTGTAGTGTTGTAGTACAACCCCCCCGTGTAGTGTTGTAGTACAACCCCCCACCCCCTCAAGTGCACAAGTGAGTGGATTTTTTTGATGTAAGTGTGCAAGTGAGTGAACTCTTATAGGTGCACAAGTGAGTGTCCGGCCGAACGGTGACCAGCTAGATCTTGGGATAAGCTGGCGATCCGCTGTGCTGGCGATCCAGGATCGGAGACGCCGTTTCACGGTTCGATGCAAGAATTGGAGATCCAGAGGTTCGATGCATTTCGTGGACTGGGCGAGGTCTGAAATATAGACACATAAGTAAGCTACCCGGAATGGACGCACAAACTCGTTCTTCGTGGATTGGTAAACATGCGGTTAGGTGAATTAAGCGCTTATTAAGCCCTTATTAAACAAATAAAATAGACGTTCATTAGCAAAATATAGTTTGGTGGGCAAATGCCTACTATGCACATTTCAGGAGTTTTATGTTGGAAGGGCCAACTGCTTATTAACCACTTAGCATGTTCCTTATTATGAACAATTGTTATTTTTTTAATCATTTGGGGTACCCTGCGTTGGGGGCCCCCTGTATAGTGGTACATGAACATTGGAAAGCTGGTGGACCAGACGGCCTCCTCATACCTGCATCTTCTCAGTGGCCAATTAACCCCCTGGTTTGAGATCACTCAGGCCTGTGAAAGGTCTCCAAAAGGGTCACTGCAGTTCCACGGTTTATTCGTTTGAACAAGTCTGTCGATCCTTCAGATTTCGGGTGGTTCCTTTCACGATGTCCTGGCTGGAGACCTTTTTCCTGGGCTGGGGACTACCCAGCCACACGTCGAAAGGAAGCAGCTGTCCAACGAGCCCCTTTTTCATGGGTATGGCCAGGACTGGGTCCAGCAATACTGGATCTTAAATGGTCAACAGGCCCTGCCAGCTAGCTAGTAGTAGTCGTAGCATAAAAGTAAACTCTTGTATTTTTCCCCGGGCTCCAAGTTGGCGCATTATTCCCACCCACTGAAGAATTCACGTAATTCACTTCCACAGGGCATTGTGGACTACCCGTTGAAAATTGTTTGGAGCAATGGCTTCGATGAGTTTGGGTGTTTGAAAAAGGTTTTCAGGCCAGAGTTCCAGGAATTGAGCAACCTTAGAGAAGGTTAAGCAAGGATCTTAAAATGGATGCAATAACAGAGCAATAGAAAACTAAGTGGTGGTGGAGGGGTGGAGGATTAATGCAAATTTAAGACAATTAATAAGCACACTTACGCAATCAAAAAATCATCATGCAGGAAACCACATTAAATTACGTATTCATGATTCCCACCCATTAAACAGTTCAGGGTGGGAACAATTTCGGGAATTTTGTTTGCACCCACTTGTTTGTTTGAGATTGAACATTACGCAACTCTGGCAACTCAGGACACTCTTCAGTCTCTTCAGTATACCCTGCCAGTCAGAACCTCTCCAAACCTCTCAAACAAAAAGATACAAAAAGGGGTCGGACCCTGTGAGACCCAATTGTTCCCCAAAACACTTCCCCAACCTCTCAGCAACCTCAACCAGATTTTCCCCAGGCCATGCCCAAGAACGAGTTCGGGAACTTGGAGGATGCCGCAGCCAGGTGTGTTCTCCCGAGAAGGAGTCGCGGTCAGTGAGTTTGCGATGGAAAAGCACCAGTGATGCACCTGTTCTCCTTCTATTTGTTGGGTCATGCACCTTATTTTTTGGGGGGAGGGATATTGGAGGGTAAGGGTCTATTTCGAGATTTCAGGAAGTGATGGTGTGCCATTTCCCCCGCGAGTGGCGCCAGGTACGTCTTGCATCGGCTCTTTGTGCGACGCCACGCCATGTACATCAAGGCGCCCTTTTTTCGATCGACCGGGTTCGACACCGCAGCGTCACCAGGCAATCCACCCTCAAACACCTAGGGTTTGGGAACCGGGCGACCCCTACCATGGAGGGACCCCGGTCCGACCCATGCCAGAACCCGTTCGGATTGTTAGGGTAGTCCAATTTTGTGGCAAAGACTTCTCAGGTGTTTTGTACGGCAAAGCGTCGCACCTGTCTGGGCAGAGGGTGGACAGAAAGGGGTCATTTGCTGTTGAGTCAACATGGCCGGAGCTGGCATGGAAACACCAGGTGTTTCAAGTGACAACTGCACAAGAAGCCCTCTTTGTAGTCCATATGCATCCATATCAGTGTATCATTCCAAATGTGCAGCTCCATGCAGAAATATCTAGAGATATATTATATATCTGATGTGAATTAGTCCAACTTGACAACAAAGAATCACCTCACGCTCCACGTTTGAGGGTCTCCTCTTTTTGTCACCGCGCTCCGCTGTTCATTCGCCTTTTTCAGGGCTTGGAAGCAGAGGGCATGAGCTGGAACGAGACTTCCACCGCAGAGGCCGGCCGGTTCGGCTGTGTTCGTTCGCTTGCCGGCGAAGGTTGGGAGAAACAGCGAGGGAGAAAACGCCTCACAACGACCCGACGACACTCCATGACCAGAACTTCGCCGAGCAGTTGGGGTGGTTGATTTCAGGGGCCAATGTAGGCATATAAGTTCCATCCATGGAGTGTTTGGGCTAGGGTAGAAGAGGAGGAGGAGGAGGTTTCTTTTTTTCGCTGAAAGAGAATGACACAGCCAGAAGATGTGGAAAGGTTGTGAAGGTCCTTGGTTTGGCAGTGGAGGGGATTCACTCAGGATTCACTCAGTGAAGGGATTCAGGATGGTAACTCTGAGACTGGCCGAATGGACAACTGGAGAATCATCGAAATAGCGCTGAGGAGTTCCTGTTTGATGTTCGTCGTCCCAGAGAAGGAGGGGGGGCAAACCTATTGCGGATAACGATGTTCTTGCGGACATGTCCGATGTTTGAGTGGTTCTATCACTCTAGAGGCATGGGACGAACATGGAAGAAGACATCGATGAGTTCTTTACCTTTGGATATTGGCTGTGGGTCAAAACCCGTATCCCCAAACCAGGGTAGGTTGCCTCTATTCAGTTCACTTTTTGTGGTCAACCCAGGTAGCCCGGTTTTGACCCACAACCTAAGTTGGAAGTGCGGTCCCAGTCCCGAGTGCTGCCGACAAACAATCGGCTGAGTCACAAGTGTTCACCGTCGGCCATGGTTAATCACATCCATTTGTTACCCTCCCCGCAATATATATACCTAGAACCCATTTGACCCCTGTTTTGATAGGAAAAGACCATGTTTTGGCTCCAAAACAGGGGTCCATCAGGTTCTAGGTATATATATATATACATACATACAACCATGCAATATAACAATATAGCCCCTAAGAATCCTTGGGGCCCTCCACGGACCCTCAAAACCCTATGTGTTGGTTTCGGGCCCGGATTCGAAAAGGGAAGTATGGTTCATCCATGGAACAATTCAGGAAAACGCCCGGGGTTGTGGCCGAAACATATGAGTAGAGGAGCCAATGAAGATGCTCCGCTGCTCCGTTTTCTCCGTTTTGGTCTTCGATACCTCCGCCGCTCTGTCGCATCGCCCGAACCCTCCACGTTACGATGGCCAAGGACACGCCCGAACCCTTCACAACGGGTTCCGTGTGGATTCGCACGTGTGTTTTGACGATCAGGCGAAAGCGAAGAAATCGTCGGTTTTTCAGTTCGATCGCCCGCCCGCAGAACCCGCCCGAAGCCGCAAACCGGTTGACCGAAGGTTTGGACCCCGGGTCGCGGGTCCCTTTCTTCGGATTCGTTTCTTTTTGGTCTCCCCTCCCAACATGGAGTACCCAGCAAGTCCAAAGGACGGATTAAACCGGTGCGTTACTAAAGAACTGGTTAAACTGGTGCGTTGACCCATTGGAGTACCAAAGCCGTTACCGCAGAGAGGGAGGCACCTGTTGCGTCGCACAAGTGAGGCTACCGTCCAATGCTTTGCAGGAGTCGCCGCTTGATCTATCAAAGTTCCAAGCACTTTGCCAGATGTTGGCACGAAACTCGCTAGTGCACGCCGTTCATAGGCTTTTGTTTTTTTGTCTTTAATAAGAATATAACTATTATAATAGGCATGGCATGCCACATACAGGAGAACAGAGGGTGTGGATCCAAGTTCAACGGGGTGTTGCTTTCCCCAGGAGCTACTAGTAGCGTCCTTGCTCCCGGCCTCCAACCTAATAGCGATGGCCTCCACCTAGTAACTTCTGTAGTAATGCCAGGAGCTACTATAGTAGGAATTCTTAAGCTTGGAGGCTTGTTTGCTGGGACCTTAATCCCGTAACCGCTGGCCGAGTAAGGATACAACATCACTTCCACCGCTTGCTTGTCAGCCAACTTCATGCCTTGCGATGATCACAAGTCCGCTGAAAGCGACGGCAATTCTTCGGGTGTGACAGCTCGACTCATCAGCGGGTACAACAGCACCTTGATGGTTCAGGTGCCAGCTCTCCTGGCTCTCCTCATGGTTTGCATCTTTCCTTGTTCTCTTCGATGCAAGCACGGTTCGGACGTCGGAGTCGTTTGACTCCCGCTGAAACCGAGCGACCGGAGGACCGACCGGTTGTCTCGCGGAGCTCCGAGCTGTGCTGAGCGAAACGAGCTGAGCAACAAAATGGTGCATCCAAGTCTGTGAGGCCATCCATGAAGACGTTTCTTTTAGGGCTCCAGTCGTACCGAAACGAAACGAAGGTATGACTGGACCCGAATATGGCATCCGGGCCCCCAGTCCCACCTTCGAAACGAAGGTACGACTGGAGCCCTAGGTTTCAGATAAAGCATGGACCTGGTGAAGAGGCCGACCTTGATCCTTTTGAGCTATGGTTATGGTCCTGGTCATGGACAATATAAAGATTCTCATCCTCTCCCCAGACACATCCCAACCACCGGCGAGCGAAGTGTTTGGGCGAGGAAGCGGGAGGGATCATCGAAGTGTTGGATATTATCCAACCACATGATTCTTTTATGTTTGGGTGGGCAAGTCTTGGGGCCAAGTCTTGTTGGGCGAAAAAATAAATACAGTAACATATAATGACCATGGACCATACCGTCCAAACCACATCTCTCCAGATCCGATGCCCACAACCACCCAGTTCGCACATGTGTCCAAACCCCCCTAGCTCCCCGTGTTCCCACTCTTCCCACTCTTCCCACCATGTTCCTCCCCCTAGCTCCTGCGCGCGACCTCCCTCAACCGGTCGGAAGGTCTTGGAGGATCACGTGCCTTCTTTGGTGCTGTCGCTCTTCGAGGACCGCCTCAAGGACCGGATCGGAAGGGGATCGGAAGGGGATCAGACACGGGAAGGAAAGGAAGGAAAGGAACGGTCAGCCCGGTATTGAAGGCACGTTACGCTACTTTTTCATACCTTTTTTCGAGTTACAAGGGCTTTACATGGCATTACTGTAGTAGCAAGAAGCTACTAGCAGCTCCTGGCAGTGCTCCTGGCAGCTCCTGGATCGATCATGATATGGAACAGGTCGCTCCCTGCGACTGTTTGTCTCCAAAAGCCACCATTTCGGAGACCTGTTGGATGGTCCTGGTATCCTGGTATTCATATGGATCTGAAGATCTCACAATCCACTATAATCTAAGTGCCAAGACGTTCTCAATCAGCAGCAGGCTTTGTCCACTACTTTGATCCAGTACGGGGTCCTACCTTGGTCACACAACTGTTACCTTTCTTTGGCAGAGACCATTTTATGTCCATTTCAATCCGTGTTTAGTTCATGGAAAAAGACACATTTCATACCACATATTAGCTCCCTCCCAACCCAAACCATCCCCATCCTTCATCCTTTGGTGGGCTCCTTGTCTTCCCGACCTCGACGGACGTCCTCGCAGCCTCGCGCGGCCTTGCGCGAGCCTCGCAGCCTCGCGCGGCCTCGCAGCGCGCAGGGACACGGCCTCGGTCTCCATGAGCTGACGGTCTTGGCAGCGACCCTGGAGCATCTGATCCACGATGAGGCGAGACACGTCGTCCGGGTCATACATGGCTGCCCTTGACTGGTTGGTTGGTTCATAGAGCGGAATCCTCCGGTCGTGTACAACCAATGGGTATATGGTACCAAACCGACCCCTTGATTCTTCCCAAGTACGGCTTGGTCCAGGTCCCGTACCGGACGGGTATGCGAGACGCAAGGACGCTCCGGGTGGGCTTCGGCGTACCGGGTTTCACCGGGGGACGGTACTGTTTGGCCCGGAGGAGTGACACCGGGCAGTGACAGAAGTGATGTCGGATGCTTTGAGTCGAAAGGCTGGACCAAATGTGTTCCTTTTCGACAGTATCCATCATGTTGAACTGCTCCCTGTTTTCGGGGGAAAGGCGAGGCAGTTCGATCCACCTGAAAAACTGACACTGTGACACAGGTGACACGTTCGGGAAGTGATGAAGGGACGCGGATCATGCAACCCGGGCTGATTTGGCACCTTTTTCTCCTATTTAACGACCATAGAGGTCACACTGGTCTGACACATCATCTGACATCAGATCGAAGACGTTTCAGCCCTCCTGCGTTTGGACTGTTTGTTTCTGGGTGCATCGTTTTACATGTAAAACTGCACTAGGTTAGAGGCCGTGACTAGTAGGTTGGGGCCATCGCCAGTAGGTTGGAAGCCATCGCTTATAGGTTGGAGGCCATAGCTATTAGGTTCCTGTTGCTATCAGGTTAAAAACATCAAATCATGTAAAAAAGAAATGAACATCCATCAAGATGACCTCACCGATTCCTTCTGGAATTCGGGACTTGCACCTGGAGGTGTCCAGTCCCAAGCAGAAGCAGTTCTGGGTCTTCTAATACGACATTCTTGAGATCCTTTACATGTATAGGACATGCCTGTTTGGGGGTAACATCCATTGGTTTCTGGTTGGGACTGGGATTGGTTTAGCCAGATATCAAGCAGCCAGCCAAGCAGACAGAAGTCACACAAAGAAGATCACAGGAAAAAAACTACAAGAAAACAGAGAAGAGTAGTTCGACAGAACAGTTTCGAAAAGGAGACCGCTGGGCCGCGACACGGCCCCCTTTCTGTGTGTTGGTTTTTAAATGGACTCCCTTCCTCCGGCTCCGGGGCGGACCAGAGGAACTCGGGCGGCTGTCTGTGAACGATGTGAACAAGATGTGGAACCAAGGGATGCCGTTGAAGAAGGTGTTTAAAGCAAAATTGTGGTTGATTGTAGAAAAGAATATAAAGAAGAGTGAATCACCGGAATAAAGACGATGTGGTTGATTGTCACTAAGACTATGTTGATTGTGACGATACAAAAGAACACCAACATTTGGTCTTTGTGTCACTCAGAATCCGGATCCGTCCGCACTGGTGCCAGCGCCACCAGAGCAGCCAGAGCAGCAAGGTTCCACACATGCTCCTCACATCTCCTCACCATGGCGACAAATGATTGACGTGTCATGGCGGGGATATTTCGAAGTAAAGTTTCCTGTTTTCTTTCCAGGATTGTGAACGATATATTGACATAGACATAGATTTACATGAATGCTGAACGATTGAAGGATTTACTTTTTTGACACAGATATAATATCCAAAGGACCGGTTAAACCGGTGCGTCACTGGTTAAACTGGTGCGTTGACCCACTGGGACAGATATAATATCATGTTCATGCTGAACGCTGGACCGGACCTCCAGGTGCTGCACCCACCATCCGACTCCCGACTCCTGCCAGGCGGTGTCGCGCTTGGGCGTGGTCTATGAGGTGCACGGGCACCCGAAGGACAGCCCCGTGAACCAGGCGCGGGGTCACCGGGTGCGATCGCCATTTACTCTCGATCTCTGGAGACCCAAAAGCCCCAGGTGCTGGTGTTGCTACAGGTGCTGGTGATTGGTTTTCCTTGCCGGTTCTGTGTGAATTGGGCGAATCGTTGCTTCCCATCTCGACGGATCTGAAAACCGGTCGTGTTTCTGGGGGCGCTTGGCACGACCGGGCGGAGTCGTGTTTCTCGGTGTCTCGGTGCGACTCGACTCATCGATCTGTGCTGGAGAGGCAGTGGGGGAGAGGGCTTGGATGTGTGATGGAGCTCTATGGAGCTCTTATTGATTTAATATTCAATGAGAGCATAGGAACTCTTCAAGGATCCAAAGAGCTTTGGATCAAGATGTTGTGCATTTCTTTTCAGCATGGCCCACCTTCCCACGCCGGGGAAGTTGCGGAACTGGGTTCACGGACTACCGTACTACCCAGTGCAGGCAGCCAATGTGAGGATCCGCGTATTCTCTTGGCCAGCCCGAAGACTCCATTTAGGCTCACTGAAGTAAAGGAAGCTCCTGTTCGGGTCACCGAAATACCACCAAATCGTCGACTGGACTCCACCTGATGAAAACCGACGAGAAGTCCTGTACCCGTTAACGTTTTCTCTTTGTTACGTGGCACGTCACCGAACGCACAGAAAAACCAGTTGCACGGAAGTGCGTCGTACACAGAACGACTCTCCGCACGGCGTGGAGGCGTAGAACTCTCTCCGCCGGATTCCGTGCGCTGTCGCCGCTCTCTCTCTCTTTCCCCGCTCTCTCGCTGTACAGCGCCGTGCGCGCAACAACAACGGTCGGGACCTCGGCGGCAGTGGAGGTGGATCTCCAAGAGCTCATTGATACCTACATGACCATCTTCTTGGCTGGCTCCCCCGACATGAACGCCACTACCGTGGCCGAGGTGACGGGGCAGACCGTGGGTTGGGAGAACTGAGACCAGCGGCTTGGACGTGATTTCTCTCTTGTTCTTTTTTAGTCCTATCCAGTGGATGTGACAGGGGCACCCCGACTTCCTCCAAGTTCGGCACCCCGTCGAACGTGATTGCTGGTAGTACGCGTTAGTTGCTTGGGAATGCTTTGAATGGTCCTGTTTTCGTGGCTTTTGGGTCTTATACCATGTTTTAACGCTGTTTTGGAACCCTGACCCAGATAGTATCTTTATTTTGTTTAAAGACCGGTTTAGTTGATGAACGTGCACATACCATCGGTTTGGCTCTTGATCTCCTACCCTCAGCGGATTCCAACATGTAACAACCGGTAACAACGGTGGAGTGGTGTGATTCTCCTTCCTTGGTGGTTCGGATCGGATTCTGGGTGAATCTGCGTGGAATTCCGATGTCAATCATGATGAATCATAACCAATCTCATGGGACTTCTTTTTTCTCCGCACGTGTCCAGCTGTGGTTCGAAATCAAATACATCGTACCGAGCCCCATTGTACCGTGCAGACCCACTGGATTGTTTCAGCTGGCAGGTAGGGCGGCCGGAAGAAGCCCTCTTTATATCTCTGCTACGCATGTTTTGTTTCCTGGTCCAAAGCCTAAAGCTGACCGCAGGAACGTGCGAAAGTCGTGGCTTGTCTTGAGATACTCGTTGCTTGTGCGGGTTGTGGTCACCCCCATGACCACCTCATGTTGCCTGTCCACATGGCAACAAGCTGCACCATTGGACCCACCCAAAGGTGTGATTTTGCGGGTCGGGTGGTGCTCATTTCAGGTGAATCCACTTCTTGGGGGAAATCCCCTGCTGGAAAAGTCTATGTATTCCCCGGTGATTTGAGCAGATGATAGCAAATCCTTGCAAGTACATGAAGAGACCCTCCGAAATTGATCTTGGTTCGAGTTTGGGTTCAGCACCTCTATCAGAGCGAGGTCGTTTGGCCGTTCAGTCTTTGCAGCATCGACCACCTCTAGATGTAGAGGTCGGGGAAAGACACGAAGGAGTTCCAAGTCGGAAAAGACCACATTTTGGGTGCAAAAGGTGGTCCGAAATAGAGGTCATGTGACAGCAGGTTCTAGGACCCACATTTAGGGCCCGTAAAAAGGGGCCCCAAAAGCCCAGCACAGGTCGTTTGGTCCAAGAAACCACGCTCGAACTGATGTGTCTCGTTTCCCCCAAAGGGGGGGTTGGATGCCAGATCCCTCAAAGCCAGATCCAGACCCGGTTCCCAAGCCCCTTCCCATTTGAAGGCCTGGATTTGTAGGGGAGAAGTAGCATATATAGTCTTCCGTTCGACTATTTAAACAATGGGAACGACCTGTGGTTTGTAGTGTAAAACCCTTAGTTGATTCGGGATTCAGCCTATTAAATTAATGCTGGTTGGAAGCCTAGGGGCATATATAGTCGTCAACAATTTTTGGATCCTTTTGGCCTAGCTTTGCCTTCGAAACACTGGGCAAAAGGGGAGGTGGATGAGGACCTGGCTTCCCAGTTCCCAGTTCCCAGCTTCAGAAGGCCCTACCGTCGATGTGAGCAAGCCCGAAACGCAGGGTGGAAGTATGAGGCTCAGATTCCTTATGGAGCCTCATACTGAGCCTCAGCTATCCTCATGATAGACGATTTGGACTCCATTCAGCAACCAGCAAAGTGTGCAGATCACATAGGATCGTATGTATATATAATGACGCAGTCAAAGTTAGAACCTTTTTTGGAAACAAAAATTGCAGGTAAATTCTATACTAAGTTCAAAGTAAGAACATGTGTTGTATCGAACATACTTAGAACATGCGCCACGAACTGCAAAAACACATTGCACACTTAGCATTTGATGCTACTCAGCTGCAGAACAAAGAACATAGAACACGCACCACGACCATCCACACATGAAAATGTATACATACATACATACATACATACATACATACATACATACATACATA